CCCGACATATAAAAAAATCGAATACAGATCTATATTTTCATTGATTTTTTTTTTTTTTTCAGTTTTAATCAAAATTTGAACACCCTATATAGAACATGTTCACTCCACTAATTATAAGACATTCAATAAAAAGGGATCTACACTAGAGAATGTCTGGGATTGTTTTCTCACAAAAATATAGCTGTAAGCCTGTAAACACTGTGTAAAAAGACAAAAACAGCCCATGAAGTTTTTTTTTCCTTCCTTTTTTTGTTGGTACAGGGACCTTCTGGTTTCCAGATTCACAGGGGAATCGACTAAACCGCAATCAAGTCGGGTAGGACCATAAGGGCGGCAAAGCTCTCCCTCAAGAGTTTTAACACTGGTGCATTCCTATGGCTCGAACACGAGACCACTGATTAAGCTGAAAGAGACCTAAGCCATCTCATCCAAGCGCTCTTGGGTTTTTTTTTCCCCTCCCTTTTGCTTTGCATTTTCGAGTTTTGTGCTGCTTGGAATATATTCTTTTAGCCACAGGCATTTGCTATATTTTTACCTTTTTTATGTACACACACTTGTAATATATAAACTTATATGCCTCTCTTTAGAGGGTTCATGCACAGTCTTTCCATGCATGTTCATGACTCAGATAAATGTGGTCCTAAACACTCACAGAGCCTTGTTCATATCAGTTGTAATACTATGAAATTCTTGCTTATTGTAATGAAATAAAACTATTCGGAAATGTTACGGTCCCGTCGGTCCCGTCACGGAACTATTCCATCGGGGTTTGTAACCATTGATCATCATGTAACCATCGGGGATAGTTAATCTAACGGTTACAAATCCCGACGGAATAGTTCCGTAACGGGGGACCGTAGCATCTCCCAAAACTATTATTAGGTGAAATTAAATATAAAAAACACAAGTGTACTTTTGTTAGTAAGTGAGATTTAGATCTCTCTGACAGAGATATCATCAATCTGTTTTTCAATTTTGTTTTTTAATCTTAATAAGACAACTTTAAAGTCTTAAACATAGCTAAAAGCAAACAAACCAATGAGAATCTCTCTGCAAACTTTGCTTAAACTATCATATCATAATAACATAAACCTTCTCAACTATATAAACAATCAATTTCCCTAATTAACACAACACAAAATAAAACAAACAAACTTGAATATTTTTTTCCCTATAAGACTGTCCTTTTCCTTCACCAAAATAACCCATTTCCCTTTGTCCTTCTCCTCCAAAACACACTGCAAATGGACAAAGCAACAACAATCAAGCTCAACATCACATTTTTCTCCATTTTCTTCTCCTTATTATCATTGTCTTGTTCCAATGTAAGTTGTTTCATAATTTAATCATCTTTTTCCTAGTCTTTTTTTTTTTAATGTCATCAAATGTAACAAAAATCTCTTATGTCCTTAATCTCACTCTTGCAGGTGAACTCATTGTCTGAAGAACCCAATGCAACAACTCCAAACTTGACAAAGCTAAAGCTAATAAACCCCTTCACACCCAAGGCCTCACTCATCAGGTACTGGAAAAACCACATTTCCAAAAATACCCCTCTACCGCCTTTCCTCCTCTCGAAAGCCTCGCCTTTATCCCCCGTTGAGTCCTCGTTTTTCGCCGAGCTCGTCTCCCGAGACTCCCTCTCGTCCCACCTCGCCGCCTTCTGCTCGTCCGGGAACCTCCTCTGCCCCCTCGACTCAAAACCCGTCCTCGAGAAACGCAACGCGGACGACGCGAACTTCACGTCGTACACGAATAAAGCCTTCCCGAACTACGGAAATGCCCGTCTCGGAGGAGCCGACTCGTTCAAGTCCTACTCGGAGGGTATCAACTTCGCCTCCGGCTCGTTCGCGCGGTATAGCCGGGCGGCCACCGGCCACCGGGAAAGCTTCGCCGCCTACTCCGGCGACGCCAACGTGGCGGCGAACAACTTCACTTCGTACGCCGTCGGAGCCGGCGGCGGCTCCGGCGACTTCAAAAGCTACGCGCCCCGCGTGAACGTGCCGGACAACGAATTCGCGTCGTACGACTCGAACGCCGACGGGCACCGGCTCACGTTCACGAGCTATGCCGATGACACAAACTCCGGGAAACAATCGTTCGCCGGCTACGGGAAAAGCGGGAACTCGGCTCCCGTCGGGTTCGCTAGCTACGGAAGCTCGTCGAATGTCGTGGGCTCGATTTTCTCAGGTTACGGCGAGTCGGGCAATGCGGCGAACGACTCGTTTAAGTCCTACACGACGAACGCGAACAACCCGAACAACAACTTCAAGAGCTACGGCGCGGGTGGGAACGGTGGGCTCGACGGTTTCGCGAGCTACCGCGACTTAGCCAACGCGGGCTCGGACGCTTTCCAATCGTACGGGAAGGGCTCAAGCTCAGAGAAAACGAGCTTCTCGAACTACGGGAAGTCGTTCAACGGCGGGTCCGACACATTCAAGGAGTACGCGAAGGGCTCGGTCGGGCAGCTAGTCGGGTTCAAAATTTACAGCGCGAGCACGACTTTCAAAGAGTACGCGAAAAGGAACGGCGTCACATTCGCGCAATACACGAAACCCGGAGAAAACCCATCAAAAATCGTCCGAAAAACGGGCAGTCTAGCCGTGGAACAGGGGAAATTCTTTCGAGAGAGCTTGCTAAAACAGGGGACGGTGACGAGGATGCCTAACATTACCGACCGGATGCCGAGAAGGTCGTTTCTACCACCGGGGATCGAGTCGAAGCTGCCCTTCTCGACCAACCGGCTGCCAGAGATGAGACAGGCCTTCCAGGCCCGGGCCGGGTCGGCCGAGGCCCGAGTGCTCGAAAACGCTGTGGCCGAGTGCGAACGCGAGCCGAGCCAGGGGGAGACGAAGCGGTGTGTGGGGTCCGCGGAGCGGATGATCGACTTCGCGGTGTCGGTGCTCGGTCGGGACGCGGCCGTTCGGACGACCGAGGGTGTGGGCGGGTCGGGCGGTGACGTGGCGATCGGGAGGGTCGAGGGTATCGACGGGGGTCGGGTGACGAGGTCGGTTTCGTGCCACCAAAGCTTGTACCCTTACCTGCTGTACTACTGCCACGAGGTGCCGAAAGTGAGGGTGTATGAGGTGGACATTCATGACGTGGAGAGTAAGGTTAAGATCAACCGAGGGGTTGCCATCTGTCACCTTGACACGTCAGCATGGAGTCCGGGCCATGGGGCCTTTCTGGCGTTGGGGTCGGGCCCGGGAAAGATCGAGGTTTGCCATTGGATCTTTGAGAACGACATGGCTTGGACTAAGGCTGATTGAATTTTTTTTTTTTGGTGCAACTTTTTTTAGTTTTCATGTTATTTGTTTTTTTGAAGAGTGTGTGTGTGTTGTTCTGATAGCTGATTTGAGGTGAAATATGTGTTCTTTGTTCTGTTGGTATGGAGTTTCATGATGAAACATTTTATTTTGAGCACATTTCATTTCAACTGTAAGTGGCCAAAAGTTGTAGAATTGTGCAAATAACTAAAGCTTGATTTTTTATTTTTTTTTTAAATTTGGGAAGTGAACCTAAATTAATGATTAACAAACCAAAGTCAATTATGTTGCACTGATTAATATGAGGAGATTCTACAGTCTCGTTACAGAACCATTCCATCAACTATCAACGACGTTTACATAATGATTTAACGGTTACAGATCCCGACGGAATAATTATGTAACGAGACTATAGCATTTCTCATTAATATGACCATATGTTTTACCTATTTAATAGTTTAAACGTGGCACAAAAGTTCAACATTTTTGGATACAAATAGTTATACCTACCTACATGTGCATGTTCTAAGTTTTAACAACTCTTATTTGTAAACAAACTCACTATATAATTAATATACACATTAAAAATCAATTAAGCTTTAGTTTTCACGTGTAAGTTTTTACCGTTTAATTAATATAAACATTTAAAAATCCGGTAACAAAAATGTAACTCTGTTTATAACGAAATCTATAGTTGAAAAACATAGAATATGAACATACACAAGTATTGCTTGAATCTTTGATAACGAAACGCAAGTTGAGTGGTAAAGACGCTTTCACCTATGACTGATAGATCATAAATTCTAAGTCATCGAGGGAAAGTCAGAACACCGTTGATCCTCAAAAAAGAGTATTGATTGAATCCACTAGAAAAAGAAAAAGGGTGCCGTGTAGCTAGATTCCTTTACAATCTGGTCCATACACAAGTCATAGTATTTCAGGCTAATGGAGTCTACATTCCATATCATGCCCAAATGCGCGTGTCTTTCTTTTGGCTCATTATTCTGCACCTAAATATTTTATTAAAAAAAAAAGATAAAAAGATAAAGCAAGCCGGTTTTGCTACGAAGCAAACAGTTGGCTCCATAGTAAAACCAACCTTCCATATACAACAAATAAACCTACCATATTAATAAAATTGTATTAATGTTAATTTAATAATCAGAGAATATAGTAGGTTTACTTGTTGTATATAACAGGTTGGCTCCACTATGGAGTCAACTATTGGCTTCGTAGCAAAACCGTAAAGCAAGCATAGGTACAAAAGTGAACATTTTGAGTGCAGCTAAAGATGGTAATCCCATCAAAGTGTTTTGAGTTTTGACGGACAAATGAAAAATATATGTATATACATATGGGTTTCAAGACTCACGCTTTTGGTGCTGACCAAGAAAACATCACAACCCTTATTTTTGAAAGACAATGAAATCCTTCTTTATAAATGCTCTCAAGTTTAACTATTCCATTTGGCAAAATATCATGAACATTTCTCTTTTTGGACATTTTTACATATTACTACAATTTTTTGAATTATTTGGAAAAATACAATAATCAAAATAAAAGTATATATAAATAGTCATAAACGAGACATAAACCAAAAAATAATACAATGACGAAAAATAAACCATAAATCAACCATTTATAAATAGTAATAATTAATTTTTTGTTAATATGCAAATAAATAGAATTTTTTTATATGTAAATGGTGCAAATCTATGCTTTGAGGTGACACATAAAAGTTGTAAATGGTGCATACTGAATTTTAATGAACAAAATGCCCTCTTGATTGAGAACCGGGGAATTCATCAGGCAATTAAAGCGGGGCAATAAGGGAAGGAGAATCAACAATTCAATCAAACATCTGATTACCATTTAATATGCCAGAAAAAAGGACATAATGGTTATATTCCAATGTCAGGAGAATTGAATTTTTTTTAGCTTGGTTAGTCAATTTTATAAATAAAAACATAAGAGGAATTTGCACCCCGTACAATAACTTATGATATATATTACACTTATACACCCATTATATTCTTATTTATAAGATTACTAAAACAAACACAAAATATTGCACTTATACCTAATATATGAGATTCTGTAGATGTAACTGCTATTAAGCAATTAATTAGCCAAATTAAATACAATTGGGATAATTTAATCTAATCAAATATATACTTGCCTAACATCCCTCTCTC